AGAGGCCCCCGAGAGGACCCCGCGAGATCCCAACGAACATCCACCAGGCTTGACACCAACAGCCCAGGCACGTTGGCGGGATGGGCCGAAGGCCAATAGATCCGCCGCCCCCTGCGCCTGTCACAAGGGCGCGCGGCGTGCTGGATCTTTTGGGATTTGGTCGCGGTTCTTTTCCAAAAGAACCACCCCCTGGGGCTTCGGCCCGCCCCGCCGGCCAAATCCGCGCAAAACCCGGAGACGGGCCCAACGTCCAAACAACAATTCTCGGGTCAATACCTTTCCCGCTCCAAGATTGCCCCCGATGGCCTCCAAGACGGCCCAGATGGCCCGAGGTGGTTTCTAAGTTCGCCCAAGATGGGCCAAGATGGCCTCCACGGCGGCCCAGGAGGACCCAAGATGCATCCAAGTCGGCCCGAGATGCCTCCAAGACGGGCCAAGAAGCCCCCACGAGGCCTCCAACGCAGCCCACGAGGCCCCAAGCCTAGCCAGCGCACCAGTCCCAGCACGGCCCCCAGATACAGCTCCTGCGTGTGTGGCCGCACCTTCGCGGCCGCAAGGCGGGTCTGGCGTCTGGCGTGGGCAAAGCTGGCGCCGCTGCTGGTCGAAGCCGCTCTCCCAGCGAACGCGGCCAAGCTTTGCGCGCCGCCCAGCCAAGCCTGGCCTGCCCCCTGGCCCGCTCAGCACCGGCGCCGCTGCGCGCCGCGGCGGCTCCGGCAAGCGGCTCGCCGCCAGGGGCGGCGAACGGCTCCTGCGCCCTCTGGGCTCGCGAGGGCCTGAGGGGGAGCTCGCCGCGGCTTGGGGCGTCGGCGCCATGGGCCGCAACGTTGCCACTTCCATCGGCGCGGAGGCGACGACCCGAAGTGGCGCCGCAAGACCCGCTCTGACGGCATTGAGGCCGGAAGCGGCGGAAGGGGCCGTCGCCCAGGTTCCACTCTGAAGGGACCCACCTAACCTGCAACTCCAGATCTGCTGCAAGTCCGACTGCAAAGAGGACGCGACAGACCCCCAACAGACGATGATTGGCGGCGCGACCTTTGGCGGCGGCAAGAGTGAGCGCCATGTTGTCTCCAAGAAACAACCTCCGCGAACAGTGCTGTCGAACGTCCCTCGCCGCCCGACGGACCGCCCAAGTGAGGGCAGCGCCCTCCAGACCACGGATGGCCCCCTTGCTCTTCCAGCGGCCGCAGCCCACCACGCGCCAAGGCCAGGCATGCATCTTGCCGCAGCCGACCTCCAGGAACCCAGCGGCGCGCCCCGCCAGCAGGAGGGCTGGCCCAGGGGCCCGCGCGATCTCCTGCTCCAGGGCCCGTTCACGGGGAGCCCCCTCAGCCGCCAGCAGCCCCTTGAAGCGAGCGCGCTCTGAGACACGCCCTACCCTTTGCACGTCGGGGAGCTCCCACTCGGTCCCAACGACGCCGCAGCTCCAGGGGGGCGCGTCGAACCAGGTCACGATATCGGACCAGGGCAGCCTGGCGCCCGCGCGAAGGCACGGCAGCAGGGCCTTCACCCAGCGCATCTCCGGCACGACGCTCTTCCACAGCGGTTGCCGCTTGGTGCAGGGCGCCCATGCGAACTCGCGGGACGCGCGCAGCATGGCCAGCCCCTCGCGGCGGAGCATGAGGAGCAACACCAAGTGGCCGATGAGGCGCTCGATCTCCTGCCCTGTCACGCGGGCGCGCCTGGCCAGCACGTGCCCCAGGGCGCAGTGGATCCGCCGGAGCCGACGACCCAGCACCTGCCAGCAGCCCGAGCGCAGGTCCAGCTCGCAACCCAGCAGCTACCCGCGCTCCTCGACTGCGGCATCGAGCTCCGACACCACGCCCTTGGGAGCCAGGGCGGCCTGCATGTCGGCCACAGCTGTAGCTGCTCGCTCCGATGACGCTGAGAAAACTGCAAAGTTGTCGATATAGAAAATCTTGGCGACATCAGAACGTAGGTCAATCCCCGGACGCTTGTCAAGACACCAGGGCTGCGACGGCAAAACTGACCTGACAATGTGAAGGTGAGCTTCTTGAATAAAATAGACTGCCCAGCTCCACCCCATTGGCACTACCTTGTAGCGGAAGCGGCCCTGGCCACTCTTCAGAAAGACCACAAGCACTTCTGACGTCAACCAGCAGGAAGCGACTGTCGATCTGAGGCAGGTGGAAGTAGCGCCTGCACCAGGGCGGCAACGAGCATTAATCTATATATATATATATATATATATATATATATATAACTGCCGACGTCTCCAGACCTCATCCCAATCGCGCTGACCCCCGACGCCACCAGCGAAGATAACGCCTCGCCCGTCGCAAGAGCTGCATGTGCAGGGGTCGTCAAGTGCATATTCGGCGTTCTGGCATCGCAAATGAGACGCCACCGCGTGCGTTTGCGAGCAACAAAAAACATGCCAGTTTCCTCCAAAACCGGCTCCGAACTAGCACGATAACTCCAGATGCGAAGAGCTCCCCGGGAGCAGCGCAGCCGTAGTTGAAGCCAGGACGACCGAGCTTCGGGCCCATAGCGCGAAGAGCACCTGCATCGCGAATTAGCGCTGCTGCCTCCGAGGTGGATCGCAACAGCCCGCGCCCAGACTCCAGCTTGCTTTCAAGATCAGCAGGTAGGACACCCAGAAGGTCAACCCTGCCTGCGCCAATCTTGGGGAGCGAGCTGTCCCCTCGCTGGTAGACTGTTCGTGAACCCGAGGCCTCGACTTCAGCATAGCCAGGCCTGAGGCCCTGGAGCGCCCCCCCCGCTTCATGGGGACGAGGGCGATCGGCGGGCGGCGACCACTTGCCGCAGGTAGCAGCCAGCCGCCTGACAGTGGCACGCTGGGCCGCTGTCAGCGGAGCGGTAACAGGTACATGGCGCCCCTGTCCGCGCAGCTCGTCGAGGGCGGCGGCGCCCTCGATCAGCCACTGGCCCCGACGCCGATCGGTCGCAGCTCTTCACCTCGCCAAAGGCGACGTACCCCATGCAGCATCGCCTATAAGAAGAGACATCAGCCCCGGACCAATCGGAATAGGCAGCAGACCACGATGGCGACCTCCAACGCCGTCGTCACAAAACATAGCGCGGGCGAGCCTGCACCCCCCCTTGAAAATAGTCGCTAGCTCGGGGGCAGGCTGGCGACCAAGGAACTTCGACGTCAGGAGGGGGCTAAGTAGCCCCCTCTGCACCCGCCATTCCCTTGGCCTTTGTCTTGGTCTGGATGCAGGCGCATCGTCAGCGACCCCCCCACGAGAAAGAATCTTCTCTTCACGACCTTTACGACGCTCTTTGAGAGCTGCGGCCTCGGACTGAAGACGGCCTGCCACCCGAGCCTGCAGCTCCGGTGAAACCAATGTGTTTCTGCGCCTACGCTCTTGTCCAAGGTCTATCTCACGTTCGTCAAGCCAAGCTGAGCCACCTGAGCTGCGGAGTGACCCAGCCTCTTGCTCACGAAGCCGATTAGCGCACACTTCGTTACACAGCTGATACCTCCGAGAAACGTTCTCGAAGATCCCAAGCTCCCCTTCATTGAGCTGATCCTTGGTCGCGCCCATCTCCAGGAGCTCGGACAGAAACTGATGTTCGCCGACTCCAGCGTCAGCCGCAGTGAAGTTCTGGATCTGCTTCCACCACATGTGACGCTGGAGAGGTCTGGCCAAGCAGCTTGAACTGCTGCAGCAGCCAGAGAGTCGCGCGTGGTCCCAGCACAGGCCAGACGCCCATCGTGCTGGTGGACATGATGTCGACTGCCTCTGCGAAATCTCTGACCCTCGAGCCGCCCTGGTTGTACCTGACGGGGAGGGTGCGCAGCTCCTGCTCGCCTGCCCTGTCGCCGTCGCGCGGAGTGGCCGTGCCGCCATGGGTCTCCGCCTTCGCGACTGCCAGCATGGTTCCGTCGGCAAGCTCGACAATCCCGCGGTCGCCCGCAATGCGGCTGGGGACGGTACCAGCAAGCAGCTCGTCCCCATGGTGGTAACCTGCTCTAGCCTCCTGGACCACCCAGCGCACAGCATCACCAGCGCTAGCACGATCGGTGAGAGCCTTGGCAGCAGGTGCGTCGTCAGACGGCGCAGGGAGCGCGGGGAGTCCAGCCTCTTCGTCGGCAAGGCCTTCCTCACGCCGCACCTCGGCGGCCAGCAGCTGGCCCTCCTCGAGAAGTTGCTTCTCGTTCCGACCGAAGCGATCCATGTCCATCCTGAGCAGGTGTCCAGGCAGCTTCGTCGGCAGGCCCCCCGTAGGGCCGACCAGGCAGAGCTGCAGCGCGTCCGAGAGGTCTTTTTCATAGATGTCAAAGTGGGGGGTGACCACCACCCATCTGCTGCTGGTGATTCGTCCCAGCGAAACACGCTCATGCCAGTAGTTGTCCTCTCGCTCGTAGAAGACGAGCACTCGGGCCCCCACTCGCAGGTTTGTTAGTGTTTTCGCCGTCCGTGCTGCTGCCATCCGTCACCTCGACCCGCGTCAGCGCTGTCCGACGGAGGCAGAAGCACACGGCGTCCCGCGCGCAGAGGCCGAGCGCCAGCGCCAAGACCACCTCGAGCCGGGCGTGCCCAACTGGCGGGCAGGACGCGACCACCGTGGGATGTCCGTGGAGGTGCTCGGGGCCACACCTGTCGAGCTGGCCCTTCAGCAGAGCGATCAATGCCTCGTCGGGCGAGGCGTCGAAATGGCAGCTGCAGTCGCACGCTGCGCTGTGGCTGCAACCGAGCCAAGTCCCCAGCGCCTGGCTGCCGACCGCTGCCGCACAGCGGGCACCAGCGTCGACGAGGGCTGCGGCCATCCACCGGATGCGATCCCGAAAGAAGCGCCTTGAGTATACAAGGCGGCAGGCAGTTACAATCATTCTCGTGGACCACTTTCATTGATTTGCTTGGGCAGTTACTTGTGTTCTGCTTCCGGCGGCCTGGGACGGCCCAAGCGCCCCGAAAGATGGCGCGAAAGGCTTCCAGAACGGCCCAAGAGGCCCCCAAGACGGCCCCGAGAGAGCTCTAAGACGGCCCAAGATGGCCTCCAAGACGCCCAAGATGGCCTCCAAGACGACCCTGGAGCACCCCAAGAGGGTTCCAAGTTGGCCCAGAGAGGCCCCCAAGACGGCTTCCGACGGAGTCAGACGGGCCAGGGATGCCCTGAGACGGCCGAAGAGGCGCCCGAGAGGACCCCAAAGGCCCCCAAGAGGCCCAAGGAGGCTCCCAGGATGCCTCCAAGAGGCTCCCAGGAAGCTCCCAGGAGGCCCCAAGAATGTCCCCAGATGCTCCCAAGATGCCCCCTCCTCCTTCTCCTCCTCCTCCTCCTCAACCTCCTCATCCTCCTGCTTTTTGAGATTCCCCCCAGCCATCCTCCCCCAAGTGTTCCCCGAAGGATTCCACAACGGTTGGGGGAACACATGGTCCGATAGCTTGGCAAAGCTCTTGCCACGACGCTCGGCCACATGGGCGATGTCAAAAGTCAGGGGGCGGCTGCGATTCGCCGTAGGCATATTCGGTACCAGAGGTCCTCGTCCAACTGTCCACCTCTTCCAGCCCGAATGTTTCCAGCTGACGGCATGGCCTCGCAGATCTTGGTAGCATGTTCCGAGGCGCTCGCTCGGCGTTGAAAACATTTCATAATGTGCTTTCTCCAATGATTGAACCGCGTCTCGGAGTGCATGCTGCGGCTGATGATTGGTATGAGGTGTATCCATCTTGAAGCTAGTCTGCAACATTGTCAACCGTTACGGTGCCTAGCGTAAAAATTGCGTTCGAAGCGCCACCTTATCCGCTCGCTATGGACTTTTGGCTTTGGGCGCTGTGCTGACACACCTGCAATCTCGGTTCTCCGACCCGGAAGTGCAGCCAGTTCCAAGAATCGGTTCGTGCCCAGGTTGTACCGGCCCTTTTTCGGACCTCGGGTAACGTCACATCGGAACCAGAATTCGGCAATCCGGCAGAATTCGGCAACCACTCCGCCCGTCGAGGGCCGACGCCTCGCCCCCGCTCGTACAGAGCCACGCGGCCTCCCTGTGTGTGGAAAGGGGGGCGTTTGGGCGGGCCCTGCGGCGGCTCTCCCCCCCCCCCGCCCCCGCCCCACAAGTCCAGCCTCGTGGCGTGCCGGCACAAATCTGCATGCCCAAACGGAGGAGGAGGACGCGGAGGAGGAGGACAAGGAGAAGGAGGAGGAGAAGGAAGAGGAGGAGGAGGAGGAACAGGGGGGGAGGAGGGAGGAGAGAGAAGGGCGGAGGAGGACGGTGGAGGAGAAGGTCGGAGGAAGGAGGGAGGAAGGCGGAGGGGGAGCGGGAGGGTGGAGGGGAAGAGGAGGAGGAGGAGGAGGAGGACGCGACGACCTGGGGGAGAGAACGTTCAGCTTCATCCACGACTAGGTTGTGCCGTTAGCTGCCCCCTTCGCCCGAATCCTCTCAGCCAGCGCACGGAGGCGGTTGTTGTCGATCAGCCGTGCACTGCCAGACGAGGGCGGCGGAGGGGCGGCAAGGAACACTCCCTTGGGCAGCGCTCGCGACACCGAGTTGCCACCCTCTGAATTCATCCTGTAATGAGGGTGAATCCACGAGCAATGCGATCGAGGTCGCTCTCGCCAGAGGACCCCAAGAGCTTGGAACAGTGTTGGCCCAAGAGGTGGCAACGGTGGCTCGCGTATGCACCGCAGCGGGCGCAGGAAAACAACACCTCTCCTGATCGGTTCAAGTCGGCGAAGGTCCACTTTGTGACCACGGCCCGACTCAGCACCGACAAGAAGTCGCAGGGCCCGTCGGGGGCCCACCACAACCATTCACGGATATTTCGCCGTCTTCGAACACTACTCTGCGCGGGGAAAATAATACCCCTACCGTTGTCCGGGATTTTTCGCCGCCCACCGCGGACGTGGGTGGGCAATGCGCTTCTGTCGACATTGCGGCTGGCGCCTGGCAGTGCGAAGCCGCTGCGCCACAGAGGCAATGGTTTGAAGAAGTCGTTACACTCCACTGGTCGGCAGCGAACGCCGCAAGACTCGTCAGCCTGGATCCCTGACCTATGCCGCGCACCCAAAGAGCACATACTCCGAAAGCACTGGCCACCTCAAACAGGAGAGGATCAGCCCTTGCAGCAACCCTCCAAGGGGAAAACCGACGCAATACTGACCTGCCGACTTGTCAGAATTAACCTCACAACGAATCACCCCAAAACGGTTTGGGGATACACTTTTCGGGTCCAATGGGGCCGAACATTTTACCCCAAAACCAGAGCACCCCTGGTGCCCTTGGACCTGTGAGCGGTCATGCGTCGAGACACGTCGTGCCGTGTCACCCGCCCAAGAAATGTCTAACGTTGCAAAACCACCGGGAAACAAGGTGTGAAAATTTATATCCCCAAACTCGTCCCGCGTCTCCCGCAATCCCAACGTTCGCGCCATTTCGCAGCCGCGTCTGCTCCTCTCGCCCCAGCAGAACGACGATCTCAATCCCAAACAATCAACCAATGAGTTTGGCGAGATGCTCGTTTCCCCAGCGTGGCATGCCAACGCTTCTGCTAAGGGCGCACACAGGCCTCGAAAAAAACGACGCACGACCCGCTAGATGTTTCCCTGGACGGGGGTAGGGGATCAATATTTCGTCGCGGATACTCTGAAACAGGATCTGCACCGAACACGGGTGCCTGGCTCCAGCTGCTCCCCATCATGCCTGTCTGGCGGTGGCTTCACACGCGGGAAACGGGGAGCCTGGGGCGCTCGCTGGAACTCCAGCTTCGGACAGAGGGACAAAACAACCCCGAACATTTGGAACCGCGATCCGAGAAGCTGCACCTGACGATCCGGCCTCTCCAGATCGGCAGGTGCAGCCAAAGGGTGGAGGGAGAGAGCGTGCTTGGCCAGGCGATCTGCATCATGATTGCCTAACGCGATTCGCTTCTCGGCAAGCGGCAGCGCAAGGCTTTTCCTCTTCCGAGCGGTGGGCGGGCGCATGGCGCCCCTGTCCTGCCGGTGAGTATCCAGCAGCTTGCTGTGATGCTCTCCGCCCGCCCGCAAACATCTGCTTGGGCCTCAACTGGGCCTGGTCCGAGGCATTTCGCAGTCACTGCTTGGGCCCAACTGGGACGGGCGGCCCCTTTGCAATCACTGCATGCGGTACCCAACCCAGACGCGAACAGACAAACAGTGGCCAGGCCTATATTCTCCGCCGCCTGAGGGGTCTGATGTGCATAGGGCCAGACTGGGGCCATCATGTTAATTTGAACTTTGCATTCGGGTCCTGGCTCCCAAACGACAACGGCAAAACTGGCCCTTCTCAAGTATGACATGATACATTGGGAAGCTGGTCTGTCGACTACTACACCCATCACAAGTTGGCACTGCGCTCCACAAAACCCTGCAACGAGGGTGGGCCGCCGTCGCCGCCCCGTAGGAGAGGGTCCGTCGCCGTCGAAGGAGGGGGGAAACATCTGGCATCGGCTGCGCCGTCACCAGCCGCGACCAGATGGCCTGCTCCTCTGGGCCAGCGCGAGCTCGCTCAATCATTTCCTGCGAATAATCTCCAGGTGCAGCTGCGCCACCGTCTGGTCCGCGCAGACCCGCTGGCAGTGGAAGACTGAGTCAGGCTGTCTACATGATGGGCGCTTGCCGTCGGGAACGCACCCAGAGTCAGCAAGACGATCAGCCGTCCAGCATCCCTGCGCGAAACGGGTGCTGATCCAATACTGTGCTCGTGGAGAGGTTCGCTTCGAACGGAAGAGGGCACGAATGGGGTCAACCGAAACGCGATCACCGTCGAAGGAGGGGATCGTCATCGCAAGCCTGCTCCTGTGGGATCGTTGCACCGCAGACTGCAAAAGTCTTGAATCCATGGCAATGGACGTGAACGTTAGATCTATTACTCTACCTCGATCATCTAGCCATTGATGGAAACCGAAGGCCTTCCAGCCTATCCTATGGAGGCTCAGGGGCATCATATGTCCAGGGCCTCTTGAGATGTTCCACTTTTCGGGCTCCAGCTCGCTGTCCACATTGACTGCCTCCGAAGAACGCCATACGCTGCTGCGCCCACGGAAACTCAGAGGGCTGGAGGTCGGGGTCGTCGGACTTCTCCACAGTGAAGAGGCCCGCTGTCTAGCGGGTGTCGTCGCCTGTTGCCAGGCTGGATCTCCCATTTAAAAACAGCTTGGCCGTGAGCGAGACCCCCCCATTTGGGCCCGGGTGCATCCTGCAAGCAGCGCCCTGCGGAACACCACGGATTCTCGGTCTGTCATCCCCGGGATCATCGATCCATAGCCCGCAGCAGGCCGAAGTCCTGAAACGTAGATCATGATCATCCTCGCGCGGCTCCCGGGCAGCTTCCTCCGGGTCTATCTTAGGAAACAATGCTATTTCACCACGTTGCGCACGCGATCCTTGCGCTTGCCCAAACCTCGCCTACATGCGCGGCGCTGCCTCGGCGCCAGATCACTGCCCAAGGAGACGACCGAGTCGCGTGCCAGGGCTGGGCAGAAGATGGCAAACTTCTCGGCCAAACGGCTGGCGACCTGCCGCGTCGTCGGCCATGGCGCTCGTCAAGAATGCGCTCGAGGTCAGCGAGCGGCAGCAGCGCGTAGCGCGGGCAGCGCCCCCCCCCCCCCCCCCGGCATCGCGACCGCGTCGTCGCCGATGTCAGACCCCAGGGAAACCGACGGACGGATGTCGCATACAGAACTGATCAAATTCGAACATCGCACATGCCTGAGCGAAAACACAGTTGAACATATCACCCGCTGGGAGCCCAGACGTCGCTGCGATGGGCCCCTGGACGAAGCGCCCCGGGGCCCATCCAGAGGCCGCGCAGGGTCTTGACGAGCACCCGCGGGGCCTTCCAATACTCGGCTCGCGCACGGAGCCGATCCAGACGAAAAGACTCTTGATACTTTTCGCCATCCTAGACGACTCCAGCTGTGATCTCGCCGCTACCGACCGCTCCCTCAGCCGGCAAACATTATTTCCACACCGTGGCTTCCGAAGGCTGTCCAACGCCAACAAACCAGCGTGGTCTCTCCGACCGCTGCGAAGAAATCACCAGCTCCGGGGCGACTCAAGCGCCCCCAGGTCCGAACTGGCGCTGCCAGAGGAAGGGCGGGCCTCAGTCCATCCATGGGCCTCCAGAAGCGGCAAAAGCATCCGCGCCAGCTGAGCTGGGGATATGCCCAGTCGCTCAACAGCCTCAACGAGCAGGGCCATCACCTCCAAGCCAGCGTCGCATAGGAGGCCGAAGTGGAACGCATGAAAGGAATCGAGCGACTGCGCGGCATGCCTGCTACAAGCCCTCGCTGCCGATCGAATCTGATCTGGGGTAGCCCGAGAAGCGCATCGCCATCTGGCATCCATGCCCCTGGGGGGGGGGGGGGGCGTGAGCGCGGCCTTCCAGAAGCCGCCTAATAGGTGAATTTCATCTTCCTGAATCGAAAAGGATCAGCCGGAAAAATGCCAGGAGCCACTCGCACAACCGTGGGCAACAATTTGTTCTGCATCTGCGTGAAACGACGCATGAGCCCCGCCGAGCCCCCCAAGGGTCAACCGCTGCCAATCATCCCAAGACAGTTGGTGGAACTTATCTCTTATCTGTGGTGTCATTGGCATCTGCGAGACCCTCCGCAATGGCATCCAAAAAGGACTCTGCTCTCGCGCCCCACTCCTGCCACTGGGGAAGGAGGTCGGCGCCGCCCTGTCGCCTGGGAGCGCACCTCGCGCAGAGACGCACCCAACCGAACATTGAGACCTTCCCCAAGGCAGGGGTGCTGCAGCGAAATATTCAACACGGTGGCCTGGTTGCCAGCCACCTCTAGATTCGAGGTGACCTGAACGAACACTGCGACTGCGTGAAACAAACACATCCGTCCCGAGCATACTTGGAGTCGATCAGAGACGGGAGCCCAAGACGAGCGCATGCGGCGCCCAGGATATCCGAGCGACTTGGCTTCGACCCCCAGGAAGCGAACCAGTTCCAACTCTGCGCAGTCGGTGAAGGTTGCCCACGTACCACTCAGGCATCTCCACGCCTCCGTCGGGGGGCTGCACTGTGCACGTGCGACAGCGGCAGCAGCAATCAAAAAGTGCCCCATCCCAGCGCCCCTCTTCTGGTCGGGGTCCGATCGGTAAGCCCAGAGGTCATCGCTGGAAACACCTGTAAGCCAAGCGTTTGACGCGCAGGGCATCCGGTCGGATCTCCAGGGCCACGGGCCGACGCGGTTTTATCCCCCAGAAGAACGCCAGCGGTAACCCCTTGGAGCAGACGAGCGACACCAAGGAGGAGGAGGAGGAGGAGGAGGAGGAGGAGGAGGAGGAGGGGGAGGGGGAGGAGGAGGAGGAGATGGCGTCGTAACAAAAAAAAAAAAAAAAAAAACAGGGCGGGATGCACAAAACATGGAACTTGACGCAGGGGAACGGCATGCTCGCACCGCCGATGCCATCGTCAACAGTCCTAATCTGCCAGCAGGTCCAGAACTCTCCAGCACTTGCGGGGCCGCCTGCAAGAATCGATTGCGCCGGATCTGTGACGGACCTGCCCAAGGCCGCCAAGAGACCTAAATTCACTGTTCCCAGACCTTCCGCTGAGTTCAGATAGACCGAGTACAGCGACACCGTGGGCCACCAGGGGGACTCCACCAAAACCTCGATGATGCGGTGCGGGGCCACATGAACATCCCCACATGCTAAAACGCCCAAATATAGCTACCCCCGCCGAGAGACTACCCGTGTCCTGATTGTGGCAACTCGGCTGGAATAAAGCATGCCACCCGAGACTCTTGGCCTTCGCGGCGGCACGTCCCACATTATCAGCGCTCACGCCCACCACGTACGCACAAAGGAGAACAGCCCTGCTCTCCCTCTCTCTCTCTCCCTCTCTCAGGCCGCGCTTGGGCGTGGCCCAGCACGAGCCGTTGAAATTCTCTACGCGATACGTCCCATCTGTGTCCGACCTGTTGGGCGCCCCCTCCAGAGGTGGGACGGGAGCACCTGTGCAGGAGAGAAGTAATACCCCACAAAATCGTGGAGCTGAGCTTCGAAACATAGTGTCACCGACACGTTTGCTTCTTGGCCCGGACCCCAAATCGCTGAATAAGGTCGGTGAAAGCTGGCTTGCTGTCCCCGTCCGGTTTTGCAGCTTGGAGCAACTGGTCAATACCTTCATCCGTGAGATCTTCGGGTTCATTTCCCTCCATCGGGACAAGTTGATTTTGTCCTGGAACGGGTTCCTTGGCATGGGCCGCGGAGGAACCCGAGGAAACATCACGAGCAGGAGGAGGGGCCTGAGCTTGGGCCGTTCGGGCCTTGCACTGCTCCTCGTACAGGCGCTGGTACTCCAGGAAGTGCGGCGAGGCCATAAAAAGACTGCAACTCGGGTTTGTCATTGACCACATCTGCGTCGAGGACGCAGGCTGGCACACCAGGCGGAACCACCTGGTGCATCGTCCACTGCAGCTCGACCTTGGCGGCTCCAACCTCCACACGCACCAATCGAGCCTTCTCCTGAATGTCAGCCAACTCCTTTGCTGCTGCAGCAAGGAGTGCCTGCTGGGTCGCAATGTCCTCATCGAGCTTCTCAAGCTTAACGGTGGGCACTGCGGAACTGCGTGTCATTCTTGATGCCCTGCAAGGTGGACTCCAGTGACTTGATTTCGGCAAGGAGAGCACGTCCTGCCTCATCCGTGTCAGTTCCACCATCGGCTGCCGAGGCATCAGCGGGCGGTGCAGCAGGAGGTCGCAGTCCTGCTGATGCTTCACTGAGCTGCTCGACCACTGCCTCCATCTGTTTCGGGAGCTGGCCAAGCTGGCGCACCACGGACGTGTCGGCAGGTGGCCCACGAGCCCAAGTCCCAGCGTGAGCGCGCTGGCCAGCCTGACGAGGAGAAGGCTGCAGTTCAGCGGCCTTCTCCATTGCCTTGTCGATGACGCTCTGTAATGCTGTCATTCCACATAGACATTCGATGTGACTCGCGAAGTTGGAATTGCGCCCACACGAAGGACATCCCCACACTGGCGACGTCGGGCCTGAGAGGACATCGGGATCTGGTGGCCCCATGCGCGAGCACTCAGGGCCGAGACTGCTGGGGGTTGAGGTCCCCCGACCTGAAACTGGTTGCCAAACAGGCCCGCAGTTGCGATTGCCACTCTGAAGACGGCAGCTGCAAGCCCAGGATCGCTTTGGCCAAAGCGGCTGAGGAGGAGGAGGAGGAGGACGAGGAAGAGGAGGAGACGGAGGATAAGGAGCAGGACGCGTGAAAAGTATCCGTCCAAGCTCCCTCTTCAAAGGTCACTACAAGAACATGTGTTCATTGCGGGGAGGACCCAATTGAAAGAGCACCGTATGAGAATTTCCACTCGAGCCAAAAACACCCTTCCTTGAACTTCAACGCCGCGAATCGACGTGATTGTTGCGCCCTGACAGTCCGCGATCGCGCCTGACCAGAATCCCTGGGACGTCAATACCGTGAATCAACGGGACTGTTGCGCCCCGACCGTCCGAGATCGTGCAGGAACGCAGATCCTGAAACTTCAACCCCACGAACCTTTGAAAACTGCTGGGAGCTCTGCCTCTGGAAACAACTTCGCGCGGTGCTGCGGCGAGAGCCACGCTGTGAAAAGGAACCGCCCTCCGTCCCTGAGTCAGGAGGGGAAAAAACACACAGACACAATTAATCGGCGATTCCCAGAAAATATGGGAAAATATGGGAAGTGGGGGGGAAGACAGAAACCCAGAAAATATAGGAAAATATGGCGAATATTTTTATTTGTGTGTATTTATTTGTGTCCTGGGGCCCCTTGACTGAGGGCGAGCGTGAGGCAGATGGGAGCGGCGCTGAAGCGAGAGCCACACGCTGAAGAAAACGGGCCGCCCTCCATCACTGAACCTGTTGCAAAGCTCACGTCACGAACGTAAGCGGCGAGGAAGGTGCACGCCGAACGCCCGGCCCGACCTACCGACACGGCGGGGTATGCCACAGGGAGGAGTCGATCTACAGAGAAAAGGGATGGGGGAGGAGAGGGAGGAGGAGTGCGCTTCACGTCTGGGCAACTTGAAAAAGGGAGTGCAGCACCGTCATTTCCTGGCCGGGCCACTCGCCAGGCCCAGGGGCGACCTCGCTCGCGTGCAGAACAGCAAGGAGGAGGGATCTAAAAGAGCGAGCACGGCCGTGCGCGATCCACGACGGAGCCCACCCCGTGTCCATTTAGGGCACTGCGTGGGGGCTCGTGCCTGAGAGGCAGAGGTGCATCCCCGCCGTTAGCGGCGCGCGGGAAACCATGCGAGAAGCGGATCAGGTAGCTGACCACTCGATCTCTGAGGAGGAGGGAGGGGAGGGGGATGACGGGGAGGGATCGGCAGAGAGGGGGAGCGGGAGAGAGGTGGGGCCGCACCCGAAGGGGAAGGAGGAGACTGCCGGGGGCAGCGCCCGGTCGCAGCCGAGGGCCTTCCTGGCCTCGACTGCTGCACCCCCGGCGGCGGCGGGGGCGGCGGCCAGGCTCTCTCCGTCGCACACCGGCGGCCCACGCGTCGCCGGCCTCCGAGGCAAGGCTTGGGCACAGCGGTGCCACGTGAGCCAAGACAGCGGTGCTCAGAACGACGTGTATGAAGGGGACTGGGACACACACAGACACACATATACACAAACCACAGATTCCCCATGCTTTCCCATTTCGTCTTCCCCCCCACTTCCCATATTTTCCCATCTGTTCTGGGGAAGCGACGATGAATTGTGTCTGTGTGCTTTTTCCCCTCCTGAGTGTATTAAAAGCAGCCAGGGGCAACGCGGGTCCCGTTGCGGCGCAGGCTGCTGCGGCGCTAGCCGCATCGGGAGTAGGATGCAGCTGCAAGTGTGGAGACGGGGTGCCGTTGCCCACGCGGGAGATGCGATGGAGGGGGGGACTGCAGGAGAGGAGGAGGGTGGAAGTAGCCCCAGAGATCCAACGTATAAGGGGTGTAGTGAGGAGGAAGTGGAGGAGGTGGTGGTGTGAGGGAGGAAAACGGGGGAGGGCTCGAAGGTGAAGGACACGAAAGGAATGAAGGGACAGAACAAAGGCCGGCAAAGATGTTAAACAGAGGGCTGGGACCGTCTGCCGGCACCGCCTGCCCCAAGGGGATGGTGGCGCGACCGCCCGGCGTTCGCGTGAGGGAAGGTCGCGCGGGTGCGGCTGTACCTCTCCACCTCCCTCTCCGGTACTCTTTCTCGGAGCCCCTCCGTGGAAAACCCCATGGAAGACCAGACAGCTGGCAAAGGGAACTCGAAGTCGGCGCTCCAGGACGGAGAAAGCATCGACTCACAGCGCGACCAGTGGCGTCTAAATCGCGTAGATGACCGACGGTGCAAGAGTCATTTCCAAGACTCACAGGTGAGACTTCTCACGCTGGGTAAGGAGATACAGGGAAGAACTTCATGAGGGACGAGGCGAGAAAGAGGCGGGAGGGAGAGGGAGCTGCAGTTAAAGAGGTGCGTTGTATCCGCCGACCCCGAGAGTGTCGAATCCTTTTTCTTGAGGCCCGCCGACATCATGACTTCCTAGGAGCTGTGCTTTTGGCACTCCCTACCCTACAGTGCTGCCTCGCCCGGGTCCGATCCTGTTCGGACCCTCCCGCCGACATCCCTTTTCACTCCCTAGGAGATGTGTTCTTGCTCCCTCCGCCGTACAACTCTTCACCCGCATCTGACTCTGTTCCAGCTCTCCCCTCCGACAGTCTCACCCCCCAGGACCTGTTTCCTTGGGACCCCCCACCCCACAATTCCTCCCCTGGATCCGACTCCGCTCCAGACCCCACGCCGCCCCGCACCACGTGCCGGCATCCTCACCCTCTGGGGCCTCTGCCCTTGGGACCCCCCACCACACAATTTTTCTGGGTTTTCTCCCCTGGGGACCATCCACCCGACAAGTCCTGGACCGCCACAGACCCCGACCCCCCGCCTCGCCCCCGAACCTCACCTCGGCACCCCCACATCTGGCTCTCTGTTCTGTCGGGGATGGACAGACCCCCCTTTAGTAAAACGTGGTTTAGTGAAAACGACCTGAGGCCCAAACCTGGCGGGCGCAAGCCTGGAAAATCACGGCCACGGTGCCCTGTCGAGAACCGAAAACGGACAATTCACTAATCGACGTGTCACTGTTGGGGGTTCTGTCCAACCCCGATTCTGGGGGTCATGTTCCCAACAATTTCTGGCATGGGACAGACCCTGCCGCCCAACCTCGCCCTCCCATCCCGCCCAGACGACATCCTGGCCCGGAACCGGCCCAGACCCCCCACCTCGCCCCCCCCACCTCGCGTCAGCACCCTCACTCCTGCCTCCCTCTTCTGGGGACCATCCACCCCACACTTCCTGGCCTGAAACCGACCCTGACCCACCACCTCGCCCCCCCCCCACCTCGCCTTGCCACCCCCAACTCTGGCTCTCTCTCTCTTCTGGGGGCGTTCCGCGCGACAATTCCTGACCTGGAACCGACCCTGACCCCCCACCTCGCCCTTCCACCTCGCCTCCCCTCGCCACCCCCACCTCGAGCTTTCTCTTCTGGAGACCATCCACCCGACAATTCCTGACCTGGAACCAACCCTGAACCCCCACGTCGCCCCCCCACCTCGCCTTGGCACCCCCACTTCTGGCTGTCTGATCTCGAGACCATCCACCCGGCAATCCGTGACCAGGAACCGACCTTGACCCCCCACCTCGCCCCCCTACCTCTTTCGCCTCGGCACCCCCCACCTCTGGCCATGCGCCCCACCCGACAATTCCTTGCAGGGAACTGACCCTCCAGGTCGCCCTTCCGCGTCGCCTCGCCTCGGCACCCCCACCTTTCGCCTTCTGTCCTGGATACCATCCACCCGACAATTTCTAGCCCAGAATCGAGTTTGACCCCCCACCTCGCATCTCCACCTCGCCTCGGCATCTACACCTCTGGCTCTCTGATCTTGAAGTCTTGAGACCATCCTCGCGACAAGTTCTGGCCCAGATCCGATCGACCTCTCCCCTCGCCCCCAACCTCGCCTCGCCACCCCCGCTTCCACCTCTCATTCTGGGGACGATCCACCCGAAAATGCGTGGCCTGGAACAGACCCCGACCTCCCACCTCGCCCCCTGACCTCGCCTCGCCCCCACCTCTGGTTCTCTGTTCCTGGGGCCCTGCGCCCAACGATTCCTGGCCCAGAACCCGCCCTGACCCCCCCCACCTCGCCCCCACGCCTCGCCTCGGCACCCCCACGCCTGGCTTTCTGCTCTGGAAGCCCACCACCCGACAATTCTCGGCCTGGAGCCGACCCTGACCCCCCACAGCAGCTCCCGCACCTCGGCCGCCCCACCTCGCCTCGGCACCCCCCGCCTCTGCCCGTCTGATTTGGGAACCGTCCACGCAACAATTCTTGGCCCAGAACCGACCCTGACCCCCCACCTCGCCCCCCCACGTCGTCTCGGCACCCCCAGTTCTGGCGCTGTCTGACTGGGACCATCCACCCGACCAAAACCAAGGCCAGCACCGACCCTGACACCCCACGTCGCCCCCCCCCCCCGCCTAGACACCCTCACCTCTGGCTCGCTGTCCTGGGGACGCTCCACCC